CCACTCCCGGCCACCGCAGCCACGACCTGCTGGGCTCCGGCGATCCTTCCGCCTCAGCCTTCCAAGTAGCCGGAATTACAGGCATGCGCTACCACACCCGGCTGATTTTTTGATTTATTGTAGAGATGAGGTCTTGCTGCCCAGGCGGGTCTCGAACCCATGGGCTCAGGCAATCCACTCACCTCAGCCTCCCAAAGGTGCGGGATTACAGGCTGAGCCACCGAGCCCGGCGTAAAGATTTTTCAATAGCTGACTGGATTTGAACTCTTCATTCTTTTTTTTTTCTTTTTCTTTTTTTTGAGTTGTAGTCTCACTGTGTTTCCAAGGCTGGAGTGCAGTGGCAAGCTCACAGCCACCCCTGTGTTGACCTGCCGGGCCAGGCGGATCCCTCTGTCTTCCAAGTAACCGAAACTACAGGCGCGTGCTACCACGCCTGGCTAATTTTTTGATTTAGGAGGCCAATGCCTTATCCATGATTTAATTGTAGAGATGAGGTCTTGCCAAGTTGCCCAGGCTGTTCTCGAACCCAAGGGTTCAGGCAATCCTCTCGCCTCAGCCTCCCAAAGTGCTGGGATTGCAGGTTTGAGCCACTGTTCCCACTCTGAACTCTTATTTCTTAAGCCTAAATAGATTCTGGTTTTTCCTAGCCTTGATTCTACTAAGGCAGAATATTTGAAGTTTTCTCTCACAATTGGGTCAATTTCTTTGCCTCTAGCTACCTCTTTTAAAGGTTTAGTAGAATTCTTTAAAACTGAAAAATCGGCCAGGCTTGGTGGCTCAGCCTGTCTGTCATCCCAGCATTTTGGGAAACTGAGGCAAGTGGATTGGCCTGAGCCCACAGGTTCGAGACTCACCCAGGCAACTTGGTGAGACCTTGTCTCTACAATAAATCCAAAAAATTAAGCTGGGCTCAGTGGCTCAGCCTGTAATCCTGCGCCTTTGGGAGACTGAGGTGAGTGGATTGCCTGAGCTCACGGGTTTGAGACCTGCCTGGGCAACTTGGCGAGACCTCATCTCTATAATAAATCAAAAATTAGCCGGGTGTGGTAGCGCACTCCTGTAGTTCCATCTACTTGGAAGGCTTAGGAGGAAGGATTGCCGGAGCCCAGCAGGTCGAGGCTGCGGTGGCCAGGAGTGGCCATTGCACTCCAGTCTGGGTGACAGAGTGAGACTCCAACTCAAAAAAAAAAAAAATTAGCCAGGCGTGGTAGCGCATGCCTGTAGTTCAGGCTACTTGGAAGACTGAGGCAGAAGGAATGCCTGAGCCCAGCAGGTCAAGGCTGTGGTGGCTGGGAGCATGCTGCTACACTCCAGTCTGGGCAACAGAGTGAGACTCCAACTCAAAAATAAACAAAACTGAAAAATTAGTTAATTTTGCATATTAGGGGAGAAGGTTTCTGGGCTGTGTGGTTTTTATTTGTCTTTGTTAACTGTGTATCTATTTTCCAAACATCTAAGAGTGATGTCTATGAAACAGTGCTTTTCTTTTCCTACAAATTATAATGTGAAGGAACTGTTTTCCTAATTATATTCTGTCTGTGCCACTACTCACTAGGGCATGATTAATAAAATTTTAAACTTTGGTATTTAAACCTTTATGCTGCCTTCTCTGTGGTCAGCCAGCTGTAGGGATGTGCTTCTCTGTTAAGGACTCTGGCAGAAAGAACACGTCTATTGGAATTTGACTCCCTGACATAGAGCAAATGGACTTGCCCTTTCATGCCAGGACCTTCCTTCATGTAAACTTACCATCATCAGCTGCTTCTGTCTCTCCAGAGAAGGGTTTCCTTTTGATAAGCCTGGGACAGGGGAATGATGGTGAGATTCCCCTGTGAGACCAGAGTTGAAATAGCCTAGAGTGGGGTTAGGGCCAGGGCTATGCCTTTTAGAGTCTTGAATGGTTTCTGTTACAACTTCTCATGGGAAAAAAGTAACAGCTATTTTTTTTTCTCTCTTAGAAGACAAAAATACTAATGCTTTTGAGAAAGCGGTAAAGTTTTGGGGGGAGGGGGGAAAAGCAACTGCTTTCCTGATCTGCAACTTAGCTGGATGTTAAGATGTCGGTGGACATGAATAGCCAAGGGTCTGACAGCAATGAAGAAGACTATGACCCAAATTGTGAGGAAGAAGAGGAGGAAGAGGATGAGGACCCTGGGGATATACACGACTATTATGTGGGAGTAGCCAGCGATGTGGAGCAGCAGGGGGCTGATGCCTTTGATCCCGAGGAGTACCACTTCACTTGCTTGACCTACAAGGAGTCCGAGGGTGCCCTCAACGAGCACATGACAAGCTTAGCCTCTGATTTAAAGGTGAGCAATGTTGTCAATTCCAGTGTAATCCCCCAGTTAAATCTCAGGATGAGCTGTTGTTAATTAATGTCTCCTCCAGACTGATTGAATGGCTTTGTAGCTTGAAACCAAATTTAAGTGTATGTAATAATCGTTTGGATATTTTGTTACATGTATTTTGTTTTCTAATATATGTACATATCACTGAAATACTAAGAATTAGAAAGGAGGGTTGGGGTGGATTCAAGAAAGACATACTGGAAGTAAACAGTAGCAGAATTGCATAGCTTTGTAGTACCTGTTTCAAAAAGTAAGCCTTAAGAAACTTTATGAGGTAGATATGATAAGTATCAGAATTATAATCTTCTACACTTCTCTGTTTAATTGACTGATAAATATTGTGAGAGTATCCAGATCCCCCTGGTTTGCCCTGACCAGTCAGTGCCTTTTGACTAATGAGTTCATTTGTTTCATGTATTGATGGTTGATGTCTAATGTTGAAAAAGATTACTCTAAGATTAAATGACAGCTTGTATTTCATTGATTTTGGGGGGTGTTTGTATGGAAACTTTAAATAATGAACAGACTGGGTGTTAGTAGCTTATGCCTATAATGCCAGCACTTTGGGAGGCCAAGGTGGGAGGATCACTTGAGGCCAGGAGTTTGCGATCAGCCTGGTCAATAGCAAGACCCCCATCCATCTCTCCCCAAAAAAAATTGACTGGGCTTTGTGGTGCATACTGAGGCTAAAGTGGGAAGATATCTTGAGCCCAGGAAGTTGAGACTGTAGTGAGCCACGATCACACCACTGCACTCCAGCTTGGGTGACAGAGCGAGATCCTGTCTCAAAAAAAAAAAAAAAAGCATGAACAAAGTTGATTCCAGCAAGAATCTCATTTTTTAACACTTAAACTAAAGCATACCTTTGAATGGCTTACATTGCAGACCAGTTTTTATGTTCACTATTTACATTTTTTTAATGATCATTTAATCAATTTTCCATCATGTTTCCTTCTCAAATACTGGCCATTATATGAAAGTAGAAACATTTCTCTTTATGGTTTTCATTGATCTTCCTTTACCTTCATGAACTGTTACATGGATTTCCTTGTCTGATCAAATTGAATGTCAAAAGTACAGATTGGCATGATTTCAACCAAATAATTTTTCTTGTTGATACTTAGATGGAAATAACTACAGTGTGCTATGTATGGTTTCTATAAATGTTATGTTGGCCAGGTGCTGTGGCTCAAGCCTGAAATCCCAGCACTTTGGGAAACTGAGGTGAGGTGATTGCCTGAACCCACGGGTTCAAGAACAGCCTGGGCATCTTGGCGAGACCTCATCTCTACAATAAATAAAAAAATTAGTCAGGTGTGGTAGTGCACGCCTGTAGTTCCAGCTACTTGAAAGGCTGAGGCGGAAGGATCACCTGAGCCCAGCAGGTTGACACTGGGGTAGCCATGAGCATGCCACTGCACTCCAGCCTGGGTGACAGAGTGAGACTCCAACGTGTAAAAAAAAAAAAGTTACTTTATCTACTGGTTTGGGATTTTTTTTCCCAAATGGTCAGCAAAGGGTAACTGATACCTTGGATTTAGATACTCAGGGCTTCATTAGTAACTGGTTGGAAGTTTCAAGCTAACTTTTTTTTTGGTGATTCTTTTCTAAAAGTGATTGTAGGCTTCCTCTCTTTTGCTGAGCAGAAAACTCTGAAGAATGGGGACCCATGGATCCTCTGGGATTGGGATTTCTGCACTGTGACTATAGCAAAGCTGCTGGGACCGTTTCTCTAGAGGGCATTTCCCTGGTAGAAATTTTTCAGAATTTTTCCTCCTTACTATGTATATCTCTCCCTTGCTGGTCAGCTAGTTTCTTTTGCTTTAAGCATACTATCAGATTATACACAATTTGATATTTAAAAATAGAAAAGGTTATGTTCATGTTAGGTTAAAAAAATAAAATTAGAAAAGGAATTATCTGGTATGTGGATATGCATAGGGCAGTGTCAGTTGACTGGGTTCATTAGGATGTTCCCATCTATGCACAGAAATTCTCAGTTTGTCAAGCCTTCTGTGCCGATTTTTTGCCCTACTAGAGAGAGCTGAGGTTCCCAAGCACCCATCTTTACTTCCTTTTTTTTTTTAAATTGTGGTAAAATAACAAAAGTTACCATTTTGTGTTCTTCCTTCTTATTAGGCTGACATATATGGTCAGCCTCCTGAAAGCCTTCCCTTCACCTTTTCACCTTTTTTTTGTGCTTTTAAGAAGTTTTCTTCAGAGCATATGCTTTCCCTAAGTGAATCTCCTCGAGTGCCCCTAGAACAGAGTAGCTGTGCCCAAACAATACAGCTCATGTCTATTTTTTTTAGATCATGTCCTGCAGTCTTCTGACTGCCTAATGTTGTTTTACCTTTTCACATATTTTGGCATGATCTCTCCAACTAGATTGTCAGTTCCTGGTGAGCAGTAACTGTCTGATACCTTACCTCCTCCGTTAATCCTGCCATACTATTACATCCACAGTAGATGTTGAATAATTGCTTGGCTACTTGTGGATTTTTTTGATTGTTGGTAACAGTACTTGCCGCTGTTGGTATCAGTTAGATTTTCTAGACCCTGCTATGCATTATTCTCTGTTGTCATGTAAGGGCATTATTCTGGCCTCCACGATTAAAAAGACAAGGAGCAAAAAGAAATTGGAACAGAGATGAGGGAATAAAAAGAGATGGAATAAAGTTGAAGCAGTATAAAAGGGTTAAAGAGAAAATGAGGCAAAGAGAAAAATAATCCACAAAAATTTAGTTCGTGGTAGAAGATGAATTTTGGTTTTTTTCCCTTCCTGAACCTCACTGAGGAGCATGTTAACATTCATTTTCTTTCTGGGACTGGGCAGGAAAGGTCATGGTTCTTTTGGTTGACTTGGCTATACATAAAGGGACTCGGTGTTTTAAGTGGTTCAGAAGAAACGTGACCAAAGAGGCTGAGCAGAACAGCTTGATTTAGAGTAAAGGAGAAGGAATCATCTACATTTTTTTCCTCTTCCAGGTTGGATAAAAACTGGCATTGTTTTTATTTTTGTAACAAATAGTTTTTGAGGATGAGAGGGAATTATTCAAGTGGTTTAGTTTACCTAAACACATGTTGGTTTGGCTACTGTGGTTCCCCTGTTGCACATGTCTCTAAAAGTGGGGTCAGTAGTGATGGTCACTTAGATCATCACTGGTGTCCCCATTGGTCAGTGATGTTTGCACAATATGTTGTGGTATATTGAGATAGTCTTTCATATGGTTTAGGTACTGTTTGGCTTGTAGAAAATGTTATGTATGTATATAAACTAAAAATTAAAATTTTAGGCTAGACATGGTAGCTCATGCCTGTAATCTCAGCACTTTGGGAGGTCTAGGTGGAAGGATTGCTTGAGCCCAGGAGTTCAAGTCCAGCCCAAGTAACATAGCAAGACCTCATCTCTACAAAAAAATCAAAAAATTAACTGGACATGGTAGCATGACTCTGTAGTTTTAGGTACTTGGAGGAGGCTGAGGCAGAAGGACCACCTGAGCACAGGAGATTGAGACTGTGGTGAGCTGTGGTTGTGCCACTACACTCCAGCCTAGGTAACAGAGTGAGATCCCAACTCAAAAAAAAGAAAAAAAAAATCTTATGAAAAGCTGTCTATGAATAAAAGCTATCCAAATTTGAGAAGTGTCTTAAATTTTTCACTGATACTCATGTCTGTGTTACTTGTTTTGTTGTTCCTGTGGATGATCTCTGGCACAGCATTAAGTTAAGTCTCCTATTGCCTTTTTTTTTTTTTTTGAGTCAGAATCTTACTCTGTGACCCAGGCTACAGTGCAGTGACATGCTCACGGCCACTGCAGCCTCAACCTGCTGGGCTCAGGTGATCCTTCTGGTCTCAGCCTTCCAGGTAGCTGGAACCACAGGCACGCACTACCATGCCTGACTAATTTTTTAGATTTATTGTAGAGATGAGGTCTCGCCAAGTTGCCCAGGCTGGTCTCGAACCCCTGGGCTCAGGCAGTCCTCTGACTTCCGCTCCCAAAGTGCTGGGATTACAAGCATGAGCCACCACCCCCAGCACTTTTTTTGCCTTTTGGGATTTGAAGTCTCTTTTTATTATTATTATTATTATTTTTTTTGAGTCTGAGTCTTAAGCTGTCACCCAGGCTGGAGTACAGGGGCATGCTCACAGCCACCGCAGCCTCGACCTGCTATCCTCAAGCGATCCTTCTGTCTCAGCCTTCCTAGTGGCTGGAACCACAGGCATGTGCCACCACAGCTAATTTTTTAATTTATTGTAGAGATGAGGCCTGCTAAGTTGCCCAGGCTGGTCTTGAACCTGTGGCCTCAAGACCAGCCTGAGACTTCAACTCCCCAAAAAAAAATTTTTTTTTTTTTTTTTTTTTTTTTGAGTTGGAGTCTCACTCTGTCACCCAGACTGGAGTGCAGTGGCCGCTCCCGGCCACCGCAGCCTCGACCTGCTAGGCTCCGGTGATCCTTCCGCCTCAGCCTTCCAAGTAGCCGGAATTACAGGCGCGTGCTACCCATGCCCGGCTGATTTTTTGATTTATTGTAGAGATGAGTCTCGCTGCCCAGGCGGGTCTCGAACCCACGGGCTCAGGCAATCCACTCACCCCAGCCTCCCAAAGGCGCGGGATTACAGGCTGAGCCACCGAGCCCGGCTCAAAAAAAAAATTTTTTTTAAGAGACGAGTTCTCACTATGTTGCCCAGGCTGGCCTTGACCTCAAGTGGTCCTCATGCCTCAGCCTTCTGAGTAGCTGGGTAAAGTCTTGTAAGTAGAAAAATCTCATTTATGTAGTTGTATGAAGTATTCTAAGTAGAAAAAATTCCAGTTGTCTGGGACACTGGGCTTTTAATTTAGTGAGGGTCCTATGTCAGAGGGTAACTTTCTGTATGTGTTCTGGAACCAGTTCACGAGTAAGATTATTATCGAAAAGGAAGGCACTCAGAAAATCAGATCAAGGGCTGAAGGTACAGA